GTAAGATCTCTGAAAATCAGAATCTAGCTATGGTAATCAAGCATCAAATTAAGTAGCAGTTCAACTATAATGCACAACATAGTTTAACAATAAAACTTGTAGCATGATCATCAAAAGCTTGGGAATAAACCTAAAAAAGTACCATGAGGTTAAGAGAAATAAACATCTTATATTATCTGTTTCTGGATAATAAAAGATGACAATTTTAATTAACCTCACGAATTCTGAATTATTGATAACTCAAGAGACATATCCACCAAAACTAAAACAGATCAAGGATGTTAACATGAAGAACATGCATTTAATATTTCACATTTAAACAAGTTTGGAACTTTCCAGACTGGCCAGATATTCTTTTTTTTTAATGACAAGGGAAACCCGTAGCCGCTATCCTTTGAGTGCGCCAGTGTTATCAAGGCGAAAAGCGCAAAAAAGCTCTAAGGTCCGTGGGGGCTTTAAGCGCAAAGCGCAAATATAGCGTGGGCTTTGATGAAAAAAGGCGCAAATGGAGAAAAATACAAATATATATGTTTAGTCCAAGACTAATAATTAAGAACATGAATGACAAATATATGACCAAAGAAAATGAATTTTTTTATGATAAAGTGAAATATCAATTGTTTAGTGTCACTTCTTCATAAGAGGCTCATTGGCAAGGAAAAATTTGCCTTAAAACCTTGATGACGACACTGAAGCGCACATAAAGCGAGGCGAAGCGCTCAACACGTTTTGAGCCTCGCTTCAGGGCTTAAGCGCGCTTAAAGCGTGCCTTTGATAACACTGGAGTGCGCACAAAGTAAGAACCCCGCTCCTATGCAATAGCTCGCAAACCACACCGGAGAGGTGACCTACACTAGGCAAGCCTGGTGCGATGAGCTCGACCCAGAAGGAAAGGCAAGGTGTTTCGAACTTGAGACCTGAAAGTCCCAAGCCCAAACCACTGGACCACCCCGAAAGGTCAACTGGCCAGTTATTCTTTCAAGCAAAAATCAGTGAAAAATGTCCACTCTCAAGCAGGTTATTCCCTAGATCACTGTTTGATCAACTAAATCATATTTTTCTAATTCAAATTATTAGATTTCCCAAAAGTAGTAACTAAACTGTCAAAGTTACAAATCCCCCTGGAAATTTTTTTCCCATGTCCTTGCAAATCCCTCTGAAGATAATAATAGCACAAAATTTCATGGACATCAGTTGGCCATGTTGAGTAAACATGTATAACATTTGAAAAGATGCAACTTCCTTGAGAAAAAATTAATCTTTTGCACATATCATTTCCTTCTGCCATTTGCACAATTTAGCAAATTAGAGCCTTGTTTATGAACATTAAGGTGCCAATGAACCTTCTTCACGAGGAGTAAAATGCCTCCCAAGTGCCTCATTAAATTTCTTTCGATTAGCTAACCAAATCTATTCCAACAACAGAATCATTATACATGAAGATTAATTACGTATACAGAGGATCCAAAAAGGGGGTAAAATCTAAAAATGATAAATTTCTTTTATTGGACCACATTCACAACCCAATCACAGTGACAAGTTGGGCAACAACAACAACATACCCAGTGAAATCCCACAACCAGGGTCTGAGGAGGCTAGAGTGTACGCAGACCTTACCCTACCTCAGCAAATCAAAGTACTTACGAAAAGTTGGATGAGAACAAATAAAGTGAAACAAATGGTGGTCTATGAAGGTAAGAACCAATCAAGTCAGATCTAACTAGTCATCTTTTAACCACAACAAATCAGAACCAATGCAGCAAAACCTCTGAACCCCACCTCATAGAAAATGCAGATTTACCACAACAAATCAGAACCAATGCAGCGAAACCTCTAAACCCCCACCTCATAGAAAACTGCAGATTTCCCACAAGAAATCAAAACCAATGCAGCAAAACCTTTGAACCCCACCTCATAAAAAGTGCAGATTTACCACAACAAATCAGAACCAATGCAGCAAAACCTCTAAACCCCCAACCCCACCTCATAAAAACTACAGATTTACCACAAGAATGTGCTACATATGTCAACTAGACGAAAAAAGAAGTTACCTTGATTCAAGAGTGTGCTACATATAGGAAGAACTTGCATGAAAGGACCAATCTTTTGATGCTCCGACAACAACTCAGATAAATACTGATTACTGAAAAAGAACACACATAACGATCACAAACCCACATAGCAAAATTCAAGAAAATGCAGAATTCACCAAGATTAAACAAAGAAAAGATACCTTTCAACATCTGGATTAGTTCTAATCTGAGGAGATGCAGCTCTTGAAGGTGAAAAGTTATGATTATATAAACCTGACATAGCTTTTTTTTCCTCAGAAAAGAGTCAAATGAAATGGGGTTCCCTGTATATAGCGGCACAAGACAGAAAAAAAAGAAAAAGAAAGGAGTAGACAGAAGTGTCAAAAAGTCTGTGAAAATTGGTAGAAAGGCAGCAAAATCTTCCCTTTTTCTCAGACTTGACTGCCAGAATCACTATTTGGTGGCTGCATAAATAATTAATAAATTGAAATAATTATACACTATCTACCAACAAAGTATTATATATATATATATATATATGTAAATAAAAGATAGTACCTAAATTTGAGTATATACATAAATGTGATTTGTAAAGATAAGACGGATTAGAATCGCGGTAAAGTGATAAATACTTATTTATGTATTGAATTCAAGTATTATTAACTATGGAATCACCTTTATGAGGAAATTTTTGCCTCATATATGAAAGTTTCTGATACAAGTTAAATTTAATCGAATCATGCATGCAAAACAATAATAATAACGGGTCATTTCGTACGTGAGATAAAGATGTGATATGTCAAGATTACATAAAATATGTTTAGGATAAATTTAAATCATCAACTAAACGGCAGTACAAAATTTATCCCAAACTTAATTATGAAATATCTCATATTATCACATTCAAATTGAAAATGTGTCATCCGTTCTCCTAAACGTGATAAATTAGTACAGAAATTACAATCTCAAATTTTTGATTTCAGAATAAGATATTGTTTGATTGATAAAATAACTCAATAAAAACAATAATCATATATCTGACTATGAATAGTACTCTCTGTCCCATATTAGTTGATCATTTTTCTTTTTAGACGCATATTAAGAAATCATAAATATCAATTATACTAATTCACCCCTTACAAAACTTCTTTGAAATTTTACAAACAAATGTGAACATTTTCAAAAAGAATTAATTGTACGGGTAATATAGGAAAAAATTAATTAATGTTTTCTTAATTTAGTAAGGTAAACAACTAATATGAGACAATTATTTTTTTTAAAATGGTCAACCAATTTGAGATTAAGGGAGTAATTAGCTTCAAAATTATTTTATTCTACTATTTATTTCAAAATAATAAAATTAATTATTCTACCATATAATTCCCACCACCACCAACCAAATCAGCCCTAATTGTATAGTGTATGAATTGGACTATTGTCACCTAAGAATCCGCTGTCATGTGTGGTGTGAATTAAAGAAAATCATTACCAAAATTAATTTTAAAATAAGAAATGGAGAAAAGTAGATTCAATTATTGCATATGAAAAAAGCTAAGATTTTTTTACTCCTTTATGATACGAGGTAGATAAAATCGAGGTGGGATCTGTCCCCTTTTTTGTAGGGTTAAAATAGTACTTAATTCCTTCATTTTTAATTTTACACTTTTATGGAAAAAAATGTTTATATAAATTGGCTACTGTTATATTTATATTAATTGATGTAATTTTTTTTTTTCTTAGGTTAAAAACGACAAATAAAAATGAACAAAGAAGGTAATCTCTTAATTTTCTATATTGGACAAGTAAATGAAGGAAAACTTACGTAAATATACTTAATTAAGAAAATATTTATCATTTATAGCAATAACATTTTTTTTTACTTTTAATATATTTATAATACAGTTTTAACACATATTATGGAGAACAATTTATAAAATACATATAATCCAAATTTTATTGATGGATAATACATTTATCACATATTTTAATATAATGTGTCAATTTCTTATCAAACAAGCCCAAAATATATTTTAAAACAGCTATAATACATATATATTATATACATAATTCATTTTTAATACATATTGCAGATTTATCATAGTATTGCTATAAATGGTAATAAATAAAAATTATCGCTAAAATTAGTAATTATTTATTAAAAGATATTTAATATAGGAATCAAGTAATATGTATCTTTAAATTTGCTCATCTTTTGTTTTAGTTTGTTTTAAAAAAAATTCCTTTTATGACAATATAATAATTTAAACTCTTTAAAAGTAACACATTTAAGATTATAAAATTAAACAATTTGCTTTGATACATTCTACATAATATTAATTTAAAACAAAATATAAAGATCTTATCTATTTATTTTTTTAAGTTTTATGTCAAGTTATAATACTACAAACAAATTAAAGGGAAAGAAACATGAATGATGATGCAACTAGCAAAATGTCGAAAATGTCCCCCGTTGCATAGCGTAGTTGGAGGAATGGACAGAGAGAGTGGCCGACACTTTTTCATTAGACGCTCTACATTGTATATTACAAATAATTATACATTATATTATAAATATACAAATGTTATTTTAATTATATGATTTAATATTTGGAAGTCTCTGGAATTTTACACAATTTGTCTTACTAATTAACTGTAGTGCTTTGTACGTATATATCATATTATAATAATTAGTAATAAATATATATAAAAAATATGTTGTGTACATTAATATTATTTACAAAACTTCTTAAAAAATAAAGTAAGGTTTTTTTTCTTTTGCATGTGTTATACATCCATTTACTATCTAACTTTCACCTTTTCATTGTTCATTTAAGAATTATTTTTGCGGTAGGATTTGAACTATAAAGGCAGTAGTAACATGCGTTTAACCCACACATGAAGCGTTATTGTTACCACAAAACAAAAGCCCTTGTTCTATTAGGAATATATCTAGGATTTCGGTGGGTATAGAGAGAAATTCCAGTCTCTTTTCAAGTAGAGAGTCAATGAATTGAAAATTCCACAAAAGTTAAAACAGAAACCAATAACTGCACCAGATTCAACAAAGAAGCATTTCACAAATGTCTCATTGTTATAAAGCTCATAGGCTATGGAAAACCAGCAACAGGAGAAGGAAGAACGACGATACTCTAAAGTACTTTGCACATGATCTCGAGCCTCAAAAGACCATTTTATTCCCAAACGCAGGTTTCCTTCCTGCAAGGCCACAAGACAATGTACAGTATCAGTACAAGTTTGATGCACATGAATAAATCACAACACAAAGTTGCAATCTTAACCAATGCAATGTTCAATGTTCAGAGTCAAGTGTTATGATGCCTAGAAATAGAACAGATAAATAAAGAAGAGTTTGTCTTCGATAGTTTCTTTTGTGCATTATGGATAAATTGTTTTCAGAAGCTTCCTTAGTCAAGTGATTAAAAATTGATGAACTATTCCGTTAATTACAACAATAACATACCCAGTGTATTCCCATAGAGTAAGGTCTGGAGAGGGTAGAGTGTATGCAGACCTTACCTATACCTCAGAGGTGAGGCGGAGGGGCTCCGATAGACCCTCGGCTCATGACAAAAACAGAGTAGAAAAAGACGTAATGAAAGTACAAACCACATTAGGTAGTGACAGAACAACGGATAGTAGCAGAACATTACTACAACCAAATATTATTACAATCGAACTACATGAAACAACATATATCAACAAAAATCAAAGAACAAGAAACTACAAGCATAACACTAACTACTAGTAAGGGCACCAAGCACTCCTACCTGCTAGCATGGACGCACTCTTACCTACTAACCTTGTACCCAAATTTGCATTCTCCACAGCTTTAGATCCTATCTAAGATCATGTCCACAGTAAGTCGCAATTGTGCCATGTCCTCCTCTTTCCAATACTTCTTCTGCCTACTTCTACCTCTTTTAAATCCATCCATAGCCAGCCTCTCACACCTCCGCACTAGAGCATCCGTACATCTTATCACATACCCGAACCATCTCAATCTCACTTCCTGCATCTTGTCTTCCACTGAAGTCACTCCCACCTTGTCTCGGATATCCTCATTTGTAATCCTATCTCTCCTAGTAAACCCACACATCCATCGTAACATCCTCATATCCCCCACCTTCATCTTATGAATGTGAGAGTTCTAAACTGATGAACACTCCGCCCTATAGAACAGCCTAACTACCACTTTGTAGAACAATAGAATATAGTTTGTGAGACAATTATTAAAGGGGTTCAGGCTCATATATTTCGGTGATGGGGCAAGGCAGCCAGGACTTAAAAGTCAATACACATTGACTGTCAGCTCATTGTATTTACAAAGGGCTCATCATCAGTTAAGTGGAATCACAAGTTCGAACAATAACGAAATACCTATGGATAATTATAATACCAATGAAGCTCAGTACTTGGAAGAAAATTCTGAAATTGATGAAGCAACTTGGAAAGAAATAGAGCTTGAAAAACCCCATGGTCCAGAAAATAATGGGGAAATACCTAACATGAACTAAACCACATAAACATCTCGCTCTTACGTTTTGAATAAGGTAATCTAAAGAGTGATTCAAAAATGATACTCAAATCCCCTCCAGATTCTATGTTCAACAAAATGGGAAATTTGTCAATAGCTGGCATTTGCCTGAACTGCAGGGTCTACAACCCATTCTTGAGAAATAGAAGTACAAAGTGATTTCTGTTACCTTTGTCAAAAAAAAAAGAAGAAGTACAAAGTGATAGCTTGTAAGATTATGAAAGAATATATGATAACAGTGTGATTGCACGATAAATCATAGACAATAATATGATTCAGTAAGAAGTCATATTAACTACAAGGTTTCTTCAGAAAGCCGGAGTTTACAAGGAACTGAACTTACAAGAGTTGATAAAGATACTTGCATCCAACTATTCTCATTTTGGTTAAAACTCCTTGTATGTTAACTGATTACCAACATATGAGATCCATCTCTCCAAATTTTATTGACACATTTTCAGAATGACTCACCATTTAATTGCTGAATTTTCCAGATTCCTTGGAAATCCTAAAAAAAATACTTGCATAACAAAAAACGATCAAGTTCTGATAGCTCCATATAACCCCAAAATGAATCATGGCATTGTAAGTGCCACATCCATCCCTATCATCAATATTGACCAACGAATAGATGTTAACTGAACATAACTGGATTTATCGCAATTAAAAACTGTGATATATGGTCCCATCCAGACTGTCAGTGGCCAGTAAATGGCTCCCATATCTCACCATTATGATTTAACTCCTCCAAACTTCCATTCTCCCATTTTTCAAACAAATTTTTCCAAGACTAAGATCCATAGCATACTGCAGGTGCAGAACAAGATTCATTGATTATAGTTGATAATCGATATTACTTCATAATAGTAAGCATGTTTTAGTGTTTTTTTCAATTGCTCCTCTTTTGGATCATCTGTCTATAGCTTCTTTAGCCTCACTTTGAGAAGCAATAATCAATAAGTTTATTTATGAAATTTAAAATTATCTCTTTTGAAGAAAATCCATTCTCATTCCGGTTTTCAAGCCCAAAATCTTGTTCTACACGTTCAATATGCTATGCATCTCTGTTGTTCTAGTGAATTTTGTTCGAAAAATTGGAGAACGGAGCTTGGAGAAGCTTTACACCGGTTTTAGTGGCAAGATATGGGAGTATTAGGCCATTTTCTAGCCACTGCCAGCAGGGAAGGAGGGTTTTAAAGGAGCGTATATTAAAAACTGCAATATATAGCTCTGTTATGGATTTAACGCTCGCTAGCAGGGATAGTCCAGCTGGAGCTATATATCGCAGCTTTTAACTTCGATAAATCCTGTTATATCCAGTACAGTTTCGACATCCCATTTTCGTGATTTAATTAGTTATTTGTATCATTTTAGTTCCGAACACTAGGATCATTTTAGTTCCGAACTCTAGGAGATAGCCTAGAACCTAAACTGGTTTTCAATGAATATCACTAAATATGCAACAGACTGTATCATATAGAGCTAGTGAGAAATAGGCATTTCATCCTCCAAATCCACCACCCAACAAATCTGTCTTCGTCATTCATGAGAGGCCCAGCCAAAACATTCATTGCTTAGGTTAAAACACATGGAGAGGGTGTCAACCATCTAGATTCTTTAAACCAGCTTTGGGGCATCCATTGATCATAAGAAAGAAGAAAGACAAAGAACTGTTAAGAAAACCATCATTCTAAATGGCAAGCTATAGACTTCAAGAAAAAATCATTTTTATAGTTGATATATCTAATGGATTAAGGGTTATGCAGTAATCACATGGGAATAGAAGTTATGATTTACCTACACAATGTTTCTACTAATAATGTGGAAACTATTGCTTCTCAAACTGAAGCTAAAGAAGCACCAATCTTTAAGTTGAAACTTGTAGGAGTGTCTGGGTGCATTTGTATATAAGGTTTGAGTACAACCCATGTACTTTTGTGATATAATACAAAGTTAGCAATTTCAAAAAAAAAAAAAACTTTTAAACCACAATGGAAATAAAGTGAAGCTTTAATACTACACTGTTGAAGCCCAAAATTGATTGATTAGGTACAAGCTATACTTGCTCGGATACCACCACACTAACCTTCAAATACTGTTCTTATACTCTTATCAATATTTGAAAGTCACCACCTTTTCTCAACTGAACATAATTTCTAAAGGTTTTATCGTTGAGAATAGCAATGGAAAAAATAGTTCTTCACTCTAGTAATGACCTCATCTAGTCGAGAATCTCTAGTGAGATAAAATAGAAAAGCTTTTACTCACTTTACAGACAAGTCTAATAGCCATTTTTCCACAGAACGAGTGATTAATTCATCTTCAAAATTATATGGTGCCACCTGCCTGTTAAGTATGGTTTAATTCTCCTCTAGGACCCCTGAAAACTCTGATGCTACTGAATACAAAAGTTAGCCAGAATTTCAAAATGATAATGCATCAGAATGTGAAAGTATGTCTCATCCATTGTTTATGTATTTATTTATAGATACAACCTTGTCTTATTTTACCTAGATTACTAATCTCAGTGATTGTGGGATTTCACTGGGTATGTTGTTCTTATTGTACTAATCTCAGTGATCATAGATACCACTCTTCTTTTAAAAAAATGAAAATTATGGATGCCACTCTTATAAAAGTTGCTTATTTACGTTATGATTAATTAGTCATCAAATTATTAGCAATCAGTTGTCTGATAAACCAAAACATTTTAAGAGTTACATGACTGTCTACCACTTTACCATGACACATACTGGCCGCCATTAGCAACAGCTGGATCGCAAAAGCTCAATTGGCCAAAGATAAAGCACAATTAAGGAAAGTTATTGGTATTATTTTCCCTCAGCAAATTCTGTGTTTCATTAACTTTGGTAGGTTGGAGGAATGGCAGGTCTATTTAAAAGCATCCAAGGGCCTGATCCAATGATCAATGAATGAGATGACAACCACAAGAGATCAAGGTTAAAATCCTACCAAGGTTGAAACCGCTAGGTGATTGATTTTTTTCCCATCCAGGCAGATTTACCTGGTACATACGATGGGGGTAGCCGGTAAACAATCGAGATGCAGCATGAGCTAGTAGGGACAACACTGGTTAGACTCTTAGATTGGATAAGTATACAAGCTCATAATCAAGCTCAAGCACGAAATTTCATCATCAAAGGTCACACTTTATTAGAATTTAATCCAAATTAAGCAAATTTGACAACAATTAACAGAACAGACTAGTAACCCTAAATCTTAATTGCCCAGCAGACAAGAATAAATCTCCCTCATTAGCATAAAAACAAAATGATAATATTAAAAGGGCAGCTGATTAAATTACCATACAACGCCTAAGACGAAGAAGAAGAAGGAGAAGCAAGCATCTCCATCATTTTCTTGTCCCTCCTTTCCATTGCTACATCCCACATGTCATTCCCAATGTGCTTCGGCTGCAAACAATGACCCAAGAAAACGAATTGGGTGTCAAAATCTGCCGGAAAAAGAATGATAGCAAATACCCAAAAGGGAAAAAGATCAAATCTTGGATCTGGGTAAAAAGGGGATTACCCTGCCATGAGCAGCTTTGTGGATGAAATACTGAGCATTACCCATAACGCAAAGAAAACCAGCTATGATTCCTAGTGGAAGAACAGCTTCTAACCACCTCAAACTCATCTTCCTTCGTTCCCTTTTTCTTCTCTCTCTCGTTGTTTTACCCTTTATACTTATTTGATTGATTTGCAGTAGCCAATTCTCCAGAAAATGGATTCTGCCATTCCCTTTTTGTTCAATAATCCTCAAAACTCTCATTGGTAAAACTGGGCCATTACTTAGTCCAGGCCCATTTTGTATCTGCTTGGAAGGCCTGGCATGGCCTCTCTTTAATTAATGAAAAAAGAGGAAAATGCTCCATAACTATAATTTGCATATTTACGGAATATAGCTACAGTTTAAGTTATTTTGTTATATAATTCACGGGTACGTTTGTATAATTGAGTTATTTTTGCATAAACTCGAAATAACGAATTTATACAAACACAAACATCTGAATTTTAAACAGTTATACAAAACTATATTATACAAAAGTTATACAAATTATATTATATAAATTCTGAATTATACAAATGTGCGAAATATACAAACTCGAGACCTCAGCCCATGTAATTGTCACTGAATGTTGGTCGCGAGTGGTAATTAACTAAAACTATAGCTATGGTGATTAATTAACTAGTATATGTTTGTTTAACCATGTAATTTCACTACTTAATTATACAAATATTTCTATCATATTTACTAATTCTTCATATAGTTTGAAATAATTATATAGTGTCTCACTATTTAATAATTTTATATTAGATACACTTAGATATACATGTATTTTTGCTACCAAAAATATTCTGAAATTCCGGCGAGTTTGTGCTTGAATATGTTAATTCATTTTATTTCAAACCCTCTGGGCAAAAACTAGCACATAAGGACAGAGGCGAGCGAGAAAGGACAGAGGTGGGCAAGAGAGTCAATATATCTAGGTACATGTGAATCATGCTTGAATATAGTGTATATGGAATAAATTACACATAATTTTGACCTTATATATCCAAGATACACGTATATAGATGCGCCAGATAAATACATGTATCTGGATGCGCCAAATACATTTATCTGGAGACCAAAATCTGACATGAATGATAATTTCAAAAATACACTGGAAGACACGTAAATAGATCCTAAACTAGTGATATTTGTGTTGTTTGCCCATAATTAATTAATCAGAAATAATTGAAAGAATATTTGGTAATCATGTATCAACCAGGAAACAACTCCACAAGATAGGTATAAAGTTACTATACACTTTACGTTCCTCAAACCTCACTTGTGAGAAATTTTATTGAATATGTTTTTGTTGATATCTCAAAAATTTACCAAAAAGTCATTCTTACGTGTAACAAAAAAAACATTGTTTTAAACATATAATATAATTTTTTTGAAAAAAATTTCATAGCAGAACTTTTGCATTCATGTGTATGCATGCTAGTCATGAAAAAGGAAAAGAAGAAAAAAAAAAAGGCTTAAGTCATCCCCATCCCCTTAAAGTTGTCCGTATAATTCAGTTAGACACCTTATCTAAGGCTTGTTCCAATTGAACATCTTCATTAGTTAAAATATATACCTATTGAATATTTTCTGACAATCAATTAAAAATAGAGAGTGATTGACATACACTCGCGAATGATGTGGCACAATAACCAATAAAAAAAAGACATGTGACATTGATCCATAATAACAATTAAAAAAATAAATTAGAAAGAAAAATAAAATAAAACTACCATTTTTGCCCAAAAAAAAGAAGAAAAAGAACCTTTCTTCCCCATTTCTTCTTTGTCATAGCACTCACCCAACCACATCACCTCCATACACATAGAGTTGTCGCCGGCTAAAACCACAAACACTCCGTTAATAATCGTAACTCCACTTTTTCTCTCTCAATTCACACAAGGACTTTTTTTCCCACCCATACACCTGGCCCCTCTCCTTTATTCTAAAACCCATCAGCATTGTTGTGCCATTTCTCCAAATCTCACTTTTTTTTCAAACGTCAATTCAGATTCACATATTTCTTTAATTCCTCTACGTTGTGAGTTCTTTAGGCTTTGAATTCTTTAACAATTTTAAGAAATAATTTCAGATTCGTATTAGTCTTGCCGGAAAAAATGGTGTTTCACCAGAATTATTTTTGACACAATTTGATTATTATTTTTTTGATGAAATTCTCTTCTACAACTCCAAGATAATGACGATGATATTGAGAATGGCGGAATAATGCTAGAAAGAAAGAAGGAGTATATGGGGAAGGGTGTGGCGGGGGATGGTGGCTTAGGAATTTGGCTGGTAAGAATTCAATTTCTCTTTTAAACAAAAAAATGAAGAAAAAAATGTGGAACCAAAACAAAGTGTAAGAGATCTTCTAAATTGACCGAAGAAGACGAGTGCTCTGAAGAAGACGATGAAGGGGTATGGGGTTTGTTTTCCTTTTTTTTATTAAGAGATTATTGTTGATCTAAGTTATTATTAATTTTAGTTATTTAGTTAATATATCCAGGTTTCAAAAAATTACAAAATTAACTTTAAAAAATTAAAAATAATAATATTGGGATCTATTCACGCGCTCAAGGACAGTGAATTACACTTATCTTGCCACATAAGCATTTTGTGTTTAATGGGTATATGTTTTGAACAATTCAAGTGTTCAATTGGTACAAGTCTTGATTGAGGTGTCTAAGTGAACTATGCGGATAACTTTAAGGGGCCGCCTATGACTTAAGCCAAAAAAAAAAGGGAAAAGGCTATTCAATAATGCTTGGGATTTGTTTGTTTTAATTCTTCACATTCAACTTGTCATTATATACTTAGTAAGTGGTAATGATACTGATTAATATAATTCATAAGATCCATTTATGTTAAATCAATAAAGTGAAAATACTCATGATAAATTTGTTAGTCATTTAAGTTTCTTCTCAAGAAGAAGAAAAAATGGAAGGATCCATCAAAGAATTCAACTTCACCAATAAGATAGGTCCTCTTAATTCACATGGATAAAGATATAAGATCATTTATCTAAGTTTGAGTATTCAAAATAAACAATTCATTAAATATATTCTAATTTACTTAAGTCCAAACTCGTGGATCTTAGTCATGCCTCATTTCCAACTCAGTCTAGTGTACAACTTGCATCTCTATCTTAGTCTAAGTTTTCAATACTTTTTTTTTGTCTTAATTTATATTCTACTTTAAATTTATGTGGCGGTATTTGAATTTTAAGAGTTAAATGACCATGTTTTTACATGTCATTTAAATATTTTTTTATTGTGTGTTTATAGAATATTTTACATAGTTTCAAATATGTAAATTTTATTTTTAAAAACTTAAAAAATCTATATAAGAATTCACAATGAAAATTAAGAAATTAACTCTCGAAATCTAACTATGACGGGACAAAGTGAGTATATCCATATTTTAAATGAATTTCTAAACATAAATATCCTGTTTAAACAAAAGCTACCAAATCCTACCAAACAAAATGTCACGACCTTAGTCTTTTGCTAAGCACACCTGTGACACTTACAAACTGCTCGCGTTCTTACACCCCTTGTTCGAGATCTTGCTATGCCAAGTCAGCCTAAAACTCTAAGAATCACTAAGAGATTATGAAAGACAGAACACGAGGATTGCTAGGAAAGATGTATTGTAGAGAACTTTGATTTTTGCTTGATGAATTTACAAACGGATTTACAAATGAATGCCCCTCAATTTATGCTACTTACTTAGGGGTTACTATGTAAATAAAATTGTTAAGCAAATCCGTACATATTTACAAATAAGCCTCATACTAGAATACTTTACATATCTTGAATGTTCTAAGGACTTTTCATGTAAATCTATGAAATTGTAAGGTCTTCCAAGGAAATACTCCACATATCTCTAAAATATTCCATGAAGGACTATGTGATACTTATGTGGCGCTTATATGACATGATGATGATGATGTGGTGGGTCGTCACAAAAAATTCCTTAAATCTTTTTCCATATATATACACAGGCATTCCCACACATACTTTTTCATATACTTTCATCAATTAGATACATATTAAACAAATAACAAAATGGGTAACCAAACAGAACCATTCCTAAGTAATGGAAAGTTAAAGAGAAAAGCAGGATCATCTCTTGATGAAACAATAGAAAGTTGCATAGGTGAATTTGGATGGGCACAATTTTTACAAGCCATTTTTGTCTCTCTTGCTTGGTTCTTTGATGCTCAACAAACTTTTATTAGTGTTTTCACTGACGCACAACCTTCGTGGCATTGCATATCATGTAATAACTCTTCTTCATTCATTGACAACAACTTTTGTACTCTCCCTAACGGTACATGGGCATGGGATTTACCTGCCCAAATTTCAGTTGTTTCAGAGTGGGCTTTACAATGTGGTGGATCGATCGTCCCTGGCCTCCCAGCATCTTCCTTCTTCATGGGATGTCTTATAGGTATACAGATTCATGATTTGAATTTAACGAGTTTAGTGATTTGACAACAAGTTAAATATTTACTACTTCTGTTAGTCGTAAGAAGAATGACATCACTTCTATATTTGGAAAAATTTTGTATTCCAATTTTACCCTTAAAGGATATGACTTGTTTTTAGATTCACATTTTATAGAAATTCATTCTTACTACTTATGATGATTGTTTTTTTTTGGCATATTGATTCACTCCTAATACTTGGGGTGCGCCTTTTGCTTGCAGGAGGTTTCCTTCTATCAACCTTAGATGACTCCTCGCTAGGTCGAAAAAACAGTCTGATTTTGTCATGTCTATTACTGGAGTAATCACTGCTTATTCAACCAATATATGGATGTATTCATTCTTAAGGTTTCTTTCTGGATGTGGAAGAGCTACAATAGGAACTTGCGCGCTTGTCTTGTCCACAGAGCTCGTGGGAAGGCGTTGGCGTGGCCAAGTTGGAGTCATTGGTTTCCTCTGTTTCACAACAGGGTTTCTTTCTTTACCAACTTTGGCTTATATAAACAGAGGATCTTCATGGCGAATTCTTTATCTTTCAACTTCTTTACCTACACTTTTATATGCATTCTTAGTGCATTTTGTAGTTAATGAATCTCCAAGATGGCTTTATATCAAAGGGAACAAAGAAGGATTTGTCCAAACTTTGAAAAGCATTGCACCTCCAGCAACAAGAAGTAGTTTAACCTTGAGCTTTTTCGGATCATTCATGGAATTAGAAAATCAAGAAGTACTCAACAACAACAACAACAACAACAACACGATCGATTTATATTCAGCTATAAAGATGATAATGGAGAGAAATTGGTCATTTCGTCGATTAGTGTCAGTAATGTGTGTTGGATTTGGTATTGGCATGACTTATTGTGGTATGCCATTAAGTGTTGGATGTTTAAATTTCAATCTCTACATAAGCATTACAATAAACGCGTTATCTGAATTGCCATCTTCTATTTTGATTCTCTTGTTTATAGGGAAGCTTAGTAGAAAATGTTCACTATTAGTATTTGCTATGCTAAGTGGAATTTTTAGCATAGGTTGTGTTATAATTGATGGAGGAAGATTTGAAGGAATCCAAATAGGTGTTGAATTGATTTCATATTTTAGCGCGTGTACAACGTTGAGCATTCTATTGATCTACACATTGGAACTTTTCCCAACATGTGTGAGGAACTCAGCAGTGGCAATGGTGAGACAAGCTATGGTTCTCGGAGGAGCCTTAAGTCCAATGCTAATCGCGATTGGTAGGAACAACAAGTGGCTTTCTTCTGGTGTGTTTGGATTAAGCATAGCTACATGTGGTTGTTTTGTTGTGTATTTGCCAGAAACTAAGGGAAGAACACTTAGTGATACAATGGATGAAGAGGAAAATAAGAATAAGGATATAACATTTGTATGTTAAGTGTTGTTTATGATTTCTGAATAAATTTGGCCATTTCAAGTTTACTTCTTTGTTTATGTTATACTGCCTTTGCGTCTGTCCAAAAATAGTTGTCCACTATTGACTTGATTAAGGTATTAAGAAGCAGTAAATGATAGGGTCATTTTATCAAATCATCCTTATTAAATATAAGTCATCTAAACATTTAAAAATGAACAGTATTTAATAGCAAGGATAAAGTAGTCACAAAACGATAAATTATTAATTCATTGATTTTATAAACTGGACAAGTATTGTTGAACATTCCAAAATAGTATAGTAGAGAAGTAAAAGTAGACAAAGAAGGTAGTTTTATATATTGTCATAAATGGTATGCAGATACCCTCCGTCATACTTTTGGGACATTGGTGCCCCTGCCGTCCAAAAACTCGAGCATATATGCCCTTCACTCTAACAGAAGACTAAATAGGGACACGTGGTGCAATCTTATCCGTCGATCTGATATTTAATAAATGTCGGGTCGATGGGTAAGATTATGACACGTGTATGTCCGTTAGTATAAAGAGTATATATGCTCTAATCTTTGGACGACATGAGCACCAATGTCCCAAAAGTATGGCGGAAGGTATCTACATACTATTTACGATAGTTCTGATGTATATTTGTCATTTTTCCCTTTATATATTAAAGATTGAATTAGATTGGTGCCTTTGTGGAATCCCCACACATTTCTATTATTGAATAGCATTCACACTTGTTTGAGGAAATATATTGAAAAGGAATGATAATAACTGGTGAAGTGGCTCGCGCTTGTGCAACTATAAATCACGACATTCATATGTAAGTGATATTGTTGTAAATTTAGTAAATAATTGATATTGTTGTATATCTACTCAAGATTAAAGATAAACTTAATTTTTTTTGTTGTACATACGTATAATATATAATCAACTTTTCATGTAATCATATAGAAGTTACAATTTTTTTTATTATTAGAAGTAGAACTTATATGAAGTGAAGAGCTATCTTTTTCATAAAGAAAGTATACGTGGCGCATGTGAAAATAAGTTGTTAAAATACATGTGCCTTTGCCCTTTCCGATTTTCTTCGGACACACTTTCAAAATTTGAAAAGTTTCAAAAGTTCAAAAACCTTTCAATGATAACTTCTCTTTTACAATTTCAAATCACTTCAAATTTCGAATTTAGATTGAAATAAGGAAACAACAATCTAATGTCAAAATAATAAATCAAAACAAAAAAAATTGGACTTTTTTTTGGACGATTGTTTTATTTTATTTTGCAAGCTAGGTTTAGATTTTTATATCACCTATCTATATAATTGTATTTTTTTTGTTTCTCATTTGGTGTTAAACTATCGATACACATGCATTGATATCTTGATTAATTCAAATTCGCTAGGTAAGAAATATTGAAGAGGAAAGTACTTTTTACTAGAATTTTTTTTTCATATTCACACAACTTGTACTCTAAAACTTTGAAGATATTCTAAACATCACACCAAAACGCTCAAAATATACCAATAATTTAATTTACTTCCCCATTTAGTAAAGCATCACATACAACCTAGCTATAAGGTTGAACAGGTCTACAACAAATGAGATAATAAGTCTTTTTTCATTTTTTTTTAAAAAAAGATCATGAGGAAACAAACCCCATGCCCCCACCTCTTTTCTTCTTCTTCTTGCGCTTCCTAGATGATCTTCTCCATCAAAAAGGCAAGAACATAGGTTAGTTTACAAAGTAAAATACGTTTTGGAGAATAAGGGAAATCATACCAAATCGAAAAGTTTTTATTATGACATTTAAAAGAAGATGATTTCTTGTGCTACTACGATTGGGATTTACAATGAAGGATATGTAAAATAAATTTCTTTTTTTTTCTATTGGAGGTTGTTCTTTATTTCTTTTTTATTCCTTGAAATCAATTTAATTTTCAATGGAGAAGGTAAGAATAATCAGTTTTTCCATTTGAAAGCAGTTGATTTCTTTTTTTGTTCCCTTGAAATCGATTTTTTTAAAAATATGAATCAAGATGCAAATTCGATTTTCAAAGAAGATGGAAGAATCAAAGAGTGTAACCTAGTAAAATATTATAGACTTTCTTAAAAAAGTTGTGTGGTGATGGAGGATGGTAGAAGGTGGGGAAGATGGAAGGGAGAAAGCAAGGAAGAAGAAGGAGAAGAAAATATTTACAAAAAAATTCAGAATATTTACAAAAAAATTCTCTGACGTGCTCAAAATTCGTGTAGCACACGTACTGTGCTTAGTCAGCAAAAAGTGTCAAAATGACACAGCAAGATCCTACATGAGGTGTCTAAAATGAATATCGCCCACTTGAAGTGCCTAAGTGAAACTTCGTGCCAAGTTTAGAGGGCCACCGATGGGTTACAACACTCATCATAGGAGTAGTTGTTTTCTACTCAATTTGCTTTTGGTTTTATGCATTTTCACATCCTTTTCTTCTTCTACTATACTACACCCTTGCCTTCATGGCTCTGATTCCCACCACTTCAATTTAACACATGTTGTGAGAGCAAGAAAATTCTTAAACTCCATACAAAACACTAGGGGTGGATTTAGAGGTCGGAAGGGTGTTCATCTGAATCTTCTCATTAAAAAAATTATAGTTTATACATAAGATAGTTTTATTTATTTATTTATTTATATACATATATATATATATATATATATGTGTGTGTGTGTATATATATAGGCATAATACATAAATATGTTCTTTAACTTGATCACAGCTCATATTTATATCCTCCAACTTTGAATGCGCACAAATAGTCACTTAAACTTGTATAAAATTAAACAAATAGACACGCATGTCGTACGTGACATTTTACATGACAATTTTCATCTTATATGATGTCCTATATATGTGTATTATGCCACGTAGGACTCATAGGTCTACTTGTTCAACTTTTTACAAGTTAACGTGTCTATTTGTGCACACTTAAAGTTGAAGGACATAAATGTGAAATGAGGTCAAGTTAAAGGGCACATTTATGTATTATGCCCTATATATATATATATATATATAGATTTTGAATTTTCTCATACAAGATGACACTTTGCCACCGGGCGCCAAACATATACTATATAGTTTATGAAAGGTTCATAAATGATACACTTTGAGTTACAATTTATTTATATTAGTTTGATTTGACGTGAAATTTAATAAAAAAAAAGAAATTAAATCATGTAATTTTAAACTAAAAATGCATCAAATGTATCAAAAATGAATCATATTGCAGTTGAATCATGATCTTGGGCATTACACATTGTAGGTCTTGGATGTGATTTAAATACCCGACAGATCTAGTAATGCTCTAGAGGTGATAATGAAACATATTGAAATTTCTTTACGATAGTACTCATTGTTACTTTATGAGTAATTAATTATGACATAAGTACTACTTGGATGCAAAATAAAAATTTTCCTACCTACATAGTTAGATGTGTTACATATACATTTTAGAAGTTTTTGTGTTTTGAAAATTAACGCTTACAAATTACAGCCATACTTTATATAAGCTTTAAATTTGGTTGTATCACAATTTAAGGCTTTTCGCCTCCAAAACTAAGTAACTTTTGAATATTTTAAAAGTATATCCACTATGCTTACATTTGTCTTCGAAATTTTCATAATTTTAAAATGTAGAATAATAGCATTATAATTTACTCTAGATTTATTTCCAACATCAAAATTTAGTACATTAATATTTGTAATGATCCGAAATGTCTTTTTTTAGATTTTTTTTTTTGTAAAATTACCATTCCACCCCTCATGATAGTTGCCCCGAGTCATTCTGGATTAGTCGGTGAAGTTGGTTTGAGAATTTTGGAACTATTCTTTTAATTATAGGTAGTTAATTAACAAGTAAATTTAGATAATTAATTTAGTTAATAACTAATTGACTAAGCCAATAATTTATTTAATATTCTATACCACTAGCCTCATATTTATTAAATAAATTACTAGGATTTGTCACATTTAGTACATAATTTTAGAAGGAAGAATACTCACCGCCATCACACAAATGCACTTCGTCCAGGTAATGACTATAACTTAATAATTGATGCAATTTGTTCATCTCTTTTCTAATTAATGAGCAGTTATATTGTTTGATTAATATTATATTGGCTGTGAAAAATAATCAAGGAAAGTGGGTGTAGACATTGAAATTTTGCAGACTCTACGAGACGTGTTCAATTCGAATTGGAACTCTAGAAGATGTGTTCAGTTTCAATTAGAACTCTTGGAGGCTACTCAATCCTATACCATAGTTTATGGCTATATAAAGGGTACTAAATTCCCTTAAAAGGCATCTCAAAATATCCCATAAACTCCTGGGTATTTTTAAAGATTAGAATCTCGAATATTCCACAAAAGTCATGGAATACTCATATAGAGATCAAATCTAAATCATCCTAGTTTGAGAACTACGTCACTAATTGCCGTCGAATCTTAGATAAATCTTAGGAGTTTAGAATCAAGGGAGGAACAAAATTGTACCCGCTATCTTGATGAATAAAATTATGTTTCTTCAGATTTTATTTTTGTGGTTTATTTATTTTCTATATATTTAAAATTTGTTGCAAACAAATTGGCACGCCCAGTGGAACCAAATCTGCCCTTCATCTCTTCTCTCCTAAATCAAGTCTGAAAATCAGAAGTTGCAAAGATAGAAGAGTGAGTACTTCAAGCCTCGTCTTTGAGTTTCATCGAGTCTACACTCCGACAAGCCTTGAAGCAGGGGGCATTTGTAGACATTGAAATTTTGTGGACTCTACAAGACGTGTTCAATTCGATTGGGACTCTAGAAGGTGTGTTCATTTTCAATTAGAATTCTTGGTTAAATCATAGTTTATGTCTATATAAAGGATACTAAATTCCCTTAAAACACATCTCAAAATATCCCATGAACTCTTGGGTATTTTTAAAGATAAGGATCTCGAATATTCCACAAAAGTCATGGAATACTCATATAGATGTCAAATCTAAATCATCCTAGTTCGAGAACTACGTCACTAACGGCCCTCGAATTATGGATAAATCTTAGGAGAGTAGAATCAAGAGAGGAATAGAATTGTACCTGTAATATTTATCAATAAAGTTATGTTTCTTCTTATTTTATTGTGATTGCCATTTATTTTCTATCACTTTTAAATTTATTGCCATTGAATAATGATTTAGTGGTAATCATTGGACAGTGAGAGATCTTTAGGAAATTTAAATGAGGAATAGTGATAGTTAATTAGTAGACGTACAAGTTGGCTGCTCGACACATAGTTTACCTTTCATTCTTTGTGTGGTTGTAATTTAAAATACAGCACCACATTATATTAAAGTTATGATAGGTTGACAGATCTAATTAAATATTATGTGTATTGTATTATATAAATATTTTAGATTTATGATGTTGGAGAAATTGAAACTTAATATTAGGCTTGAAATTTGGAAAACATGAGAGTTGACATATTAATTGACATCAAGATTAAGAACTTGATTATAGATTTAGATGAGTTTTTATGGGTCTAGGTTAGACATATAGTAATATGGGTGTTGTTAGTTTCAAAATCTTATTGCGATTACTTAGTTGAATAGATTTCTTTTATTTGGAAGTCCAAAGAAAGGGGAAGACTCAAGTCCCGGAGTGATTGTTCGACAATTTGAGACAAGTGGATTTCTCAACCCTTTTTAAGTATATAAAATCATGTATTTCTTTGTGGTACGTGTTGGGGAGTAATGGGACTTGGTGATGGATTGACTTATCCATATTGAATCATGCATTCTAATGATGAAACAAAGGTAATTAAAGGCAATGTGGTTAACTATTGGTGTGTGATGTGTTGAGAGATTTGAAAGGCTTATTGATTCATTGTTGATGTTGTATCACGATTGTGTTGTTCTGAACTATGCATTGTTATGGAAATGATCATCTCTTCATTATTTGTGTGAACATGTTATTTGTATTGGTTCTGAGACATGGTTGTGACCAGGGGCGGACCTAGAGTGAACCCCCTCGGCAAAAAATTATGTTGTATATTTAAGGTATTTTAAAGAATTTTTATGTTTATATATTGATTATGAACCTCCTGAATATAAGATTAGAGGTTGGTTTAGTGGTTGAGGGGTTCAAACCTCAAATCTTAAGCACTGCTCTTTTTTTTAGAACCCCCTTAATGAAAATCCTGGATCCACCACTGGTTGTGACAAGTGTAATGTGAATTGAGGAAGAATAAGAAATTAAAGAGGATGTACCATTTCAAGGGACGAGTCGCGCGTCGCGACCACTATTATGATTTGAGGGATGTGTCGCACGTCGCGGCGGATTCTATTATTGAGAGATGTGTCGCACGCCGCGATGATTTTATTATTGAGGGTCATGTCGCACGCTGTGACAGATGCATGGACAATTATGTCCTCCATGGGTCCCGGACTGATAGACAGCGGGTGTGTATCGTTAGGTCAGACATGCATCACTATACTTGACATTGCATTACACATCTATATCATTTGTGAACTGTGAGTGCCTTTTTGTGGAACTTGTGATTGGTGAACTTGATCTCGTGTGTTGCTGATCTGTAATTGTTGGAGTATTGTTATTGAGATATGTGATATGTAAATTGTGAACTGCTAGGTTGAGCTGATTTTATGCAGGTTGTAGTTGTGGAGGTTCAGTTGGGATGGTAGGAGTATCCGTATTCTATTCCTTTAGCTTGTGTTTAGAAGTTTACTCGCTGAGTACTGTGTGGTTTGGTGCTTACCCCCTACTTCTACATTTTTGTAGGTTACGATCCCGGATATTCGTGATACTTTCTATTCTCTTCTTTTTCGAGGCTTCTTGTCGAGATTTGTGAGGTAGATGTTTGTCATCTCAGTAGACCTTCTTATTCCTATTTATGATCTTGTTCTACTTTAGTTACAACATCATTTGAGACTTGTGTTTCTTTAAAATCCATTGTAATACATTAGAGACTTGTACACGTGACAAACAGTTTTTCGGGATTTAGTTAAGTTGACTTATTATCCGCATTAGTAACTGAGTATAAAACTTCTATTTTTATTTTATTTCCGCATTATATTGTAATGATTGAGTTTTAGGCTTACTTGTCTTGGTGGGATAAGATAGTGTCATCACATCCATTTTTGGATCGTGACAATACTATACCAATATTATTACAATTTTCATTTTTTCTACACAAAATGAATAAAAACAAAATTCTCGAAAGTAAATTAATATTAAATTGACTTTGAGTCCCAAAAGTCATAAAAATAAGCTGATAAGTCAAATTATTGAAACCAACGTGACGAAGAAAATATAGAAGGAAATATTTCTTCCAAAAGGAAATAAACACACATGAATATTGGGTTGAAATATATAGGAGAAGTTAGAAAAAGTAAATTAGTTTGTAACTGATTTGAAAATAATGTTTAACAAATTATGTCTTTTTCGTTCATCAATATAATTTACATATATATAAATAGAAAAAAAATAAAGAAGAAAGACAAAAGGTGAAAAGATTTGTAACGATATTATATTGTTTTAATGAGGAATTTGACTTTTGGGTTCATTATAAATATGTAGTTGAAGAAAATAAGAGTAGAAAATAGATATTTTTATGTGAAAATTTTATAAATGACATTTATAAGACTAATAATTTCAAGTTATGACAGTAAAATGATTCTTTCAGGTTGTAACAGTTTATAAAAAAAAGTTTTTCAAGTAATTGTTAAAAATCAGTTTTGAAAAAAATAAAAAGATAAAAAAGGATAATAAAACGATTTTGAAAAAAAGAAGAAGATAAAAAATGGATAAAGGTGTATTAATTAATTTTGAATTCATTTATGATAATTGTTAATTGACATAAATTTAGGAGATTCAAACAAATTAGAAATATTTATTTTCCTTATTTCACTCAAATCTGTTAACATTAATTAAAAAATCAGATTTTATTCATTGTGTTTAAAGTTTCTCTCTCTTCGTTTTTTTTTCTTCAGAATTTGGCGTCACTCACGAGTAGATCCAAAAAAAATTTGGTTGAAAAATCTTCATTTTGTTGTAATGGACGACTTCTTATCTATATTAATTAAACATGGTGGTAGATGGGATCCTTCTAGTTAGTATTCTTTACGATTTATTATTTGTATTTGTATATTATTGAAACGTAAAAATAAAATAAAAAAAAAAAAAATGAAACTGTAAATCACATTTTGTGATTTTGTTTATGTATACTAGATTTAAGTTGTGATGTTTTTTGTATGAACATTATTTTGTTCATAATATGTAATCATTTTTGTGAAACTGTAGTTAATGTTGGTACGATTGTGTTTGTTATTATTATTTTTTTGGTTATTTTGTGTATTATTTATACCATGGATTTTTTTAGTCATTTTGATAATAATAATGAGATGGATTCGGTATGCAGTTTAAAATTATAATATGGGATATTTTTATTTTATTTTGAAAATATAAATAAAATGTATAGGTTGGAATGAATTTGGTAGTGTAATTGGAATGCTATTGGTATGGATAATTATTCATTATTGTGTAAAAAATATGAGTAAGAAGTATGATGATTTGTATGAAATTTGTATTAGGTTGATATGAAATGTGAATATAAATACAACACATGTTTTTTTACTTTTGTTTTATTTAAAATTGACTGTGATTTCGTAATGAAACAGGGAAATATGTTGATTTTCAGATGGAAGGAATTATTTTTTAGTCTTCAAGTCTATATAGTGGGCAACTGCATTGACCAAGTTATCAACAAAAATATTCCAACAATGATAACAAAAAAGACCCAGGAATCAACAAATTGAAAGGATAGGGGAGTCACAGCCCCCAATCGTGACTCCCCTATCAAGGGAGTGGTTACGTTCACTATGTCCCCCTTATTCCTGACATGCTATAGTGCTGGGGCTGTCTCGCGAAGATCTTCGATCCGAACCTTTGCATCTACTCTCTCTTAGAGGATGAGCCACACCTTCGCTATCGCAAGAATATAACGATCGAAGAACTATGGCTCAACTGCTTCGCATATTACACCGTATTGCCCAGCTGAAGTGGTAGTACCTGAGATTCCCGTAGGAAGATATTATTTAGTTTTAAATGATCTTTTTGTCCACTCAACCGATTAGCAAATGAAATTGATGAAAATTCCACTATAAATGGTGGATTTTATTTTTTTCTTGGGATGAGTTAAGAGAGACGAAGATGTTTTTGGAGTGAACCTAAAAAATTGGCTAGAGAATAAATGCACGTATATCAAAAAACACCAACAACCCTCGAAAACAGCTAATGAAGTATAACTCAGTACATGCAACAAGACTACAACACAAGCACTACATAAAGCAGGAAAATTGAAATAAAAATCAAGCTAATCCAATGAAAAGGAGAGCTGAAACCAAAAAGAACTTAAAGCATCAATAAACGAAAGAGAAGAGGAGGAGAAGTTGTTAGGTCTAGTTAGAAACTAAAAAAATGATGTCATCTCAAGATTAAACTGAGAAAACGATACTCCATCAGAGTTTCAACTTTCAATAAATCCACAAAGTACAAACACTTTAGGGATATAATTTAGGCATTTTAAAGTGAAATTCTAGTCTCATTTTATCTAATTGCGTATGTAATTATTTTCATGTCCACAACAGTGGTCGAACAAAAAACATTGAACAGAAGCATAATACTTGTTCATCATGAGGAAGAGAAAGGGACAATAATGAACACAACTAAATAAGAGAGCAAACTTACATAAGAGAGTAAACTTACAATTCTACATTACTCAATAACCCGTCACAGGAGGACTGTAAGACAGCTCAAACAATTAATGAAGAGAAGTCAACATACTTCCAGAAATAAGCATCATAGCAAGTACTTGAAATGTTGTTGTTAAAGAAAAATGACTTAGGAAGCGGACTTATGTGTCTTCCCATAAGAGCGGTAGCTATCTTCTAGCCATCCTAATCAAGTGTTTGCATCGGAACCATCCAAAAAGCCAACACAGACCCAATAGTAGTCGCAACTGTCAAAACAAAGAGGAAAAAAAGTGATTAGGAAATGGAAAAACCTAAAGCTCTTCATAAGAGAAACTATATGTAACAACCCAACCCCTCGTTTTAAGTACTCCCTCCATCCCATTTTATGTGGCACATATATGACCAAACTATATGCAGCATTTTTTCTGGAATTAGATGAATTACCTCCTCTATCTCGGATTTAATTTGTTCCTGAATTTCTGATATTTTGTTCCTTAGAAAGTCCATTTCAACAAAAATAGGGACTTATCTCAGGTCATATTGTATCAATTAGAAGGATATACATTCTCGAATTGATTGCAATGCTCTCATTCTATGCACAAAAATAAAGTATTTGTGGTTGCTCCAATTTAAAGCACAAAACAGTTTGGTATTAAAATACAACACTTATACTTGATAGAACTTGATCTTTCACATCTCACAAAGTTTAGCAACAAAAGATTCACTCAACTCACAGGTCATGCAAGAAATAGGAGTGATGGGAACAAGGATACATAATCGAGAGATGAAATGTTTACTGACCTCATGAGTAAAGCAAGTATGAACGTAAAGACTGGTATTGTTCCAGGTTGCAAAGCAACAACATAAGTCGAATTTATGTAGTCAAGACCAACAACAAAGAGTTGGCAACCAAAAATACTTGTCTTAGTACCAAGAGAGAAAGAAAGCATTTTCAGCAATAGGCTTTAATTAAGTGTAACAAAACTATGGAAATTAACAAAATAAATCCAAATATACAAGGTTAGTACATCAAAACTTACCCAGTTAATTCTAGAATGAAGAATAGCAATATGAGCCGCTTATTCAGAGGAAGCAACAACCTCCTATACATAAAGAAACATAAAATGTACATTTGTAAGTGATACTCACATGATTCCAAATATTGTAACTAACTTTTGAAAGAACTTGTAGAATATATATATATATATATAAATGAAAGAGAACAAAAAGAAATTTGGACAAACCTGGAAAGGAAATCATACTAAAATTGCTTGCGAAACGAAAAGAACTGAAGGAAACTTGTACATATAAAGGGAAAAAAAGAGAAACATAAAGAATAAGATGAAGTCGAAGAACATTGAAGGAAGAGTAAACATACCTAAAAATGGCGATAGCCTGCTGAAAAGATGAAAATAGCAAAGACTTGCGTCTACTTTTTCCGGTTTGAGTAAAAAGAAGAAGAGCAGGTTTGAGAAGATCCTAGCAACTTTCATTTGCTTGATTCCTAATCTCTTACTAATAATCTGCCAAAAGGAGGAAAGAGGAAGAACATTACTGACTACTCATTATGATACACTCAAAAAACTAAAAAATAACTTAACTATGCATGAAATATACACTGCTTATTCAATTTTTATCTACTCAAGATTACCTCTAAACAATCTCAAATTTTAGATATGAAATCCAAAATAAACCCTTTAGAAGGGATGTGTCTCTATCTACAAGAAAATGAGTCTGTGTTAGTGTTTTGCCAAAGATAGTGCTCTCAATTATTCACTTGACATATAACTCTCATATGTTACTCTTAACTAAAAAGGCATAGGATAATATGGTCAAAGAAGATTTGTAGCTTTGTAATAGAAAATAACTCTCATATCCATCAATAATGCTCGTAGAAGTCATTCTTAAACAATGTTCATTATTACATCCTAGGAAATTTGCTTAACATTTTTATTTGAACAGTGTCTACAAGTAATGAAACCACATTTAGCAATTGAAAAACTTTTTGAAGATGGAGTGTTGGATATGCGGATCATAACTAACAACCCAATAATATTGCATGATCAGATCATTCAAACAGATGCTAAGATATGTATCTTTCATGAGGAAGCATACTTGCAAAGGTAAAGTAATTTATCGGTACTACAGAAGAGGTGCAACAGCACAGTGTTACTAAGTTTTGGAAGCACTTGCAACTCACTGCATCTTGAGAATGAAGTTAAGAGATGCAATTAATATTGTGCTCACTCTCTTTTGTTGTGTAGAAATTTGCCTATTGCATAAAATAGAGAGGGAGTTTCCATCTTTTCCAAATGGAAAACAGAACACATCATCCAAACAACTAACATATCTAAACGTGAAAAATGAAACTTTGTCTAATAAGATATGCTTTAAGAGTTCACAGCGCCTCTGTTTCTTATTAGCTTCTTGAAGAATATTGGGGGTAAGATCCTCCTCAATCAATTTTCATCTGTAGAAACAAGCAAACACTGCTTTGCTTATAAGGTACTTGAGGCCATACAAGTTACTCCTTATTTAACAATTCATATCCCACACTATCTACGGGTAGAAAAAGTGTGCTGCTAATCGTCATTAAAGTGCGGAATCAAAGAACAATGCAATATTTAAAGTAGCATACTGGTGAATTTTAGTTGAAAGGAAAAGGACTCTGCCATTCAACAAGATTCTGAGAAATTGCCAGATCCACATGGATGCTCGCTAAGTACTACTCGATAACATAGCAAGAAGGAGCTTTGAAACATATATTTCTTCCGCTATTATTGCAAGATAAACAAATGAAGGGCCCTGTATTAAAGGCAATCTCCAACCAAATGACGTGTGCAACAGAGTAGTCGTTACTCCTGATATAAGGAGCACAGTGGAGAAAATGAATTATACTTACCGGTTTTAGTACCTTAACTATAAACTTATCAATTTTAATCTTGTAAGTATTCAAAAACTTATTAGGTTTGGTTTCTGTCCATTTTTTTAATACAAATAACTTAGGTTTATATTAACGGAATCCATGTCTTGAGAAATTAAATCATTTAGCAATTTTTTATGTTGGTTCTCTCTCTCCGCTACTTTTTCTTTAAATTAACTTTATGTGAAGAACCTTAACCTCAACGATTTAAAATAAAATTCACGAGGAAATAAAATATAAGTCATAATTTTATTCAACAGAAGATAAAATGAAGCATATTATCGCTAGTAATGACTTGAATATGCTAAACTTTATTATAAAAAGAAAAAAATTATTACCCGTTAAATTCAAAGTTTGTACTCCAACAACTTCATTGAACATAATTTGTTTAATTTTTCAGAAATTGAAATTTATAAAATAGTTAATTTGCAATTTTTTTTTTAAATAGATCAATTTAATTATTCTATTCATTTTATTTTACGTAAAGAAATTTTAGTAAATTAAATAAAATCCACACTGATTAGCATATTCAAGTGCGGGTTCAAGTCATTAATAACAATTATATGCTTAATTTTATCCTCCATTAAATAAAATTGGGACTTATATCTTCTTTCTTCATTAATTTTATTTTGAATCATTGACATTTTTGTTCTTTTCATAAGAGTAGTTTGAAGAAAAAAGGGCGGGGATAGAGAAACAACTTTAAAAAATGGGTCAAAAATTTAATTTCACGAAGATTTCCGTTAATATAAACTTAAACTATTTGTATTTAAAAATGGACAATGACCAAACTTGATAAGTTTTTAAATACTTAAATGACTAAAATCGGTAAATTTATAGTTGATGAATTAAAATTGATAAGTGTATAGTTAAGAGACCAAAACTGATAAATTTATATTTAAATAACGCTAAAAATATATTTAAAAAATGCTTTAACTCAAAAAAAAAAAAAAAAAAGTTGAAACGTTTTCTTTTAGTCTGATAGAACAATAGCAAGAAAAACTTATCTGAGTTGCAGTTGAAAGTTTAAGCTCATTGTGAATCTCAAATTATAATGGCTTCAGCAGAAAACAATGGCCTTATTATTTCAACCACCGAGACCATACGTTTGTTTCTCGCCGGAGTTGAACTCTCCGATGACCTGAGAGAACTCGCGTCTTCCCTTTCCGATCATCCCACGGTACCATACAAACATCTGAGGTCGGTTTGGATCGGGTCTAACCCTGTAACACGACCTGATCTGATGGGCTTGTTATCCGGATCCAATTTCGTCTTCTGCAGTCCAAAACCTAGAGAAAAAAGTGAGGAACTCAAAGCTCGGTTGAGGAAACTAGTTGAAGCGTCGGAGAGGAAGGCGTATGATGAATTGGTGAAGGATATTACTCCTAGGAAACCTGTGGATGAACCTTTTTCCTCTTATAAAGATCAAATGGGCTTTGGTGAGTCTCTCTTTTGCATATTATTATAATGATCTATTGCATTATTGAACTTGTATTTCCTAGTTCCAATTTTATTGACATACTATTGGAATGAAATCAGAACAGAATGATTCATAACCCCAATTAGTATGAATTAAGGGCATAGTTGATTGATATTGATTACTTTGATTGGAATCAGCTATTGAGGTGAGAATTGAAATTTTATTATTTAAATAGAAGTGAGTTCAAAAAGCTATTTTTTTGGAAAAAATTGAACTTTCTTATTCCAGTGATATATACAACAGCAACAGCAACATACCAAATGTAGTCCTATAAGTGATGTCTGGGAAGGGTAGTGTGTAAGCAACCTTACCCCTTGAATGATGTTCAGTTTCCCCCACTCCTAAGCTAAGTAATGAGTGAGAAAGACGAATGCCAAAAGAAACCATTTACGTAGTAATAGTAAGTAGTGATTTCTGATACACTTCATCATCTTCAGAATCTGATGAGGTGAAGTTGGTTAAGACTCACTTATGTCTACACACACATGTAAACATCCCCATTTGTTGGACAACAAAGAAAAGATTGTCTGGAACAACTCTCTAGGTTTCAGACCCAGGAGTTGACTTCAGTTTTTTACTGTCAAAGGCTTGCGTGATGGCGTGGCTAAGCCCTGAAACTAGATGGAAAACAGGCTGATTACATTTCTCTCTTGCACAGCTCGTTAGTTCAGATAGGTGCTGAGGGATGCGTTTGATCATGCATGGATCTTTCTTGAAGCGAGCATCACTAAACAATAACTATTTCACTTAATTATACAGTTCCATATCTTTTTGTATAATCGTTTTTGTGTTTGCAGTTATTGTTCTTTAATTGCATTTATATTTAAATTTGCACCTTTCTTCATCAAACCATCATTTTTCTTTGCGCTTTGCACTTGAATCCCAACAGACCTCAGTGCTCCTTTTTTATCCTGCCTTTGATAACATTGCTTCCTATATGAGCATTTAGAACATGTATTTCAAAGGTATAGGGCTACTCAAATTTCTTGTGTTCCATTATAAGAGGACTGTTTTGGTTGGAAAAGATGTGGATCAACCTTCCAAGAGATTTCTTGCTAGGCTACTCATCGATTTGCTTAATAAATAACCTGATGGTAGAAGTAACAAAGTAAGTTTGAATAAGTGTGTCTGTTGGGATTCATCGGAAACAGCCTCTCTATCCCACAAAGGTAGGGGTGTAAGGTCTGCAGACCCCACTTGTGGGACTACACTAGGTATGTTGTTGTATCTGTTGGGATTCAAAGAGATTGGGAATTATTGCTTGTAAATGTTCTTCTGAAGATTTATTTTTTTGGACAAAAAATGCTCTTCTGAAGGTTTTGCAAGCCTCATATGATAGATTATAGGCAAAACATCTTTATACATTTGACAGGGTGTTGCCAAAAAAGATAGAGTTGGAGATATTTTAGTATCTAGGCATGATTCATAATTAGACTTGTTGTTCGCATGCCAGCCTTGTTTCAAAAATCATACAGAAATTAGTGATGTTTTGCTGAAAATTAGAGGATCCTATATCACTATCTGCCTTGCAAAGCTTCAATATCTTCAAAAGTCTAGCTTTACCAGACATATGAGAGATTGATTTTTTATTAGTGAGGTCATCTTGTTCTCTTGTTCTTTGTCATGTGCAGTTCCAGGGAATATCATTTAGGAGATCTGATTAGGGTTCCAAGTGTTTCTTGCCTCTGCATATTTATACAACTCTTCGGTAACATGAGCTGAGCCTTGTTTCTGTGAGATTTTTCGTTGTATATAAAGAATAAGTTGTTACTTCCTTATGGTGTTTGACGTGGACACGGAGGTTAATATTTTAATTTGACTTTACATATTGTATTTGTGATTGCTGAGGAAAATATTAAAGTAATGGTTAAAAAGTTTGTTTGATAGATGAACCTAGCTATCGATGATTAAACTTTGAACAGACGTGGTGTTTAATTCTTAGAAGTTGTATAGAATATTGGAACAATGTCAAGCATTTTGGATCGTCTTATAATTCTAAAGGTGACATGTAAATTAAGACAGATGGAGAACTGAGCCTGCAGAATTTTTTATCACTGTTGGTGGGAAGTAAAATAGCATGGGTAACACATAATGTTGCAAATGTATTCACCTACTATGTTAGCTCATGAGCCGATTGATGTTGTTCTTTTGGGGCATATGCCTGACCGACCGATGCTTTAAAATTTGGCATTTCAAGTTCTTTGCTGTAAAAACCAATATTGGAGTTGGCTTCTTTCTTAACATGGGAATGCACATAGGGGTGATTAGTTCATTGTGTATAACCTCCTGAGATTTTGAGGCAGAATAATTGGATCAATAGGTGTTAAATTGTCAATAGAGATGTTGG